ACTGCTCCTAAATAATCAAGAATAGCAGTTCTGTAATTAGAACCGGCTTTATCAATTTCTTCGAGTAAAATTATTGGATTACTAACCCCAGTTTCTACTAAGGCTTTGGCTAATTGTCCGATTTCTGTTCCACCCGAGCCTTCGCTAGTTCCGGTCAACCAAGAAACTTCACTTAAACCTCCTAGGACAAGTGGATAAATTTTTTTCTGAGCGGCTTGGGCCAAAAGTTGGACCAAAGTAGTTTTACCCGTGCCTGATGGACCGACCAAACATAAAATTAACGGCTCTTCTTTGACTCCTTCTCCTTTCTTTAATTCTTCAATTTCTAATTTTTTTACAATTATTTCCTTTGTTCTTTTCAAACCCGCTTGCTGGGCGAGGATATTTTTGGCCTCGTCTAAGTCAACTGGCAAAGGGGACTGAATTTGGTAAGACTTAATTAATCGGTCAATTATTCAGATCTTGTGTTTTAAGGCGACACTTTGTTTGCTTCCGCCGTGATAATGGCCTTTTAATTTCCCTAGTAGCTCACTTTTTTCCTTCTCTAATCGCTCAACGACACCCATTTTCCTAACACTTTTCTAATATTATATTTAGAACTTAACTTCGTTAACTTCTCGGATTTCCCGACGAACTTGTAATCATTGACGACAATAATAAAAGCCCATTACGAAAAAGTAAAGGGCAATGAGGAACCCCACTACTTTACCACCAAACATTCATTGTTCGCCATCAAAATAATTTGAGGCTCAATCGCTCTTATTCATTCAAGTCAAAAAGCCCCCCATGCCTAAACTAAATCAGCCAAACATGTATTTCATAAACCAACTGTAAATTGTTACGGTTAGTGCATATCCACCATTGACGATTAATTTTTCTCAGAGTTTTTCTTCTCTGTTTTTTAATTCATTTAAAATTTGATTACTATCCATAATGTTTATCTTACTATTTTTAATTCTTTTATTATAATTACCCATAATTTTTTCAAAATCACTATCACCCTGAATTCATTCTTCCAGGCCAGCCACCACCCGGGGTAAAATGGTTGCTATTTCTCGTCTTTCTTTCTCGGCCAAATGTCCTAAAACTCAATCGTTTAGAGGAATTTTTGGATTATAACCTACTCCTATTCGCAAACGCTTGAACCGCTTAGTCATTAGCCTTAAAATAATACTGTTTACTCCGTTGTGTCCTCCGCCCGAACCTTGACTACGATAGCGAAAACTACCAAGCGGTAAGTTAATATCATCGTAAATTACTAACAAATTAGCGGCGGGGAGAGAAAATAAATTAGTAAAGCCCGCAACGCACTTACCCGAATTATTTATATAAGTCTGTGGCTTCACGAGCAGGAAATTTTTCCCTTGATAATAGTAACCATTAAATTTTTTTTTCTTCAATTCAACTTTTAATTTTTGAGCCAACTCATCAATAACCCGAAAACCTAAATTGTGCCTCGTGTTTTCGTATTCTAAACCAGGATTGCCTAAACCGACGACGACTTTCATAAATTACATATAAATTTTAGAGCCGAGTCATTTTTTTT